ACCCCCCCCACCCCCGACCCGTCCTATCTCTCCCTCGCTCTCAATTGAACCATAATATCCACTCTCTATGTATAATTGCCTCGGAAATGATGAAAACGATTGATAGTAACAAATAAGTAAAATTGTATATAACAATGTAATAAACCATGTGCTTGGTCTTTCTCTGTGCAGACGGACTAGTAGAAACGGAATTACCAGAAAGCACGGAACGAACAGGAGGAAGGTTTTATAGGGATGTGATGAACATTTGAACAGCAGAGAGTTGTGAACAGCGAATTAAATATCATTTGTTCCGTTTGCATGGAAAAAAAACCCAACCACATGGTCCGATATGCTTTTTTACACTATCTGTTGTTTTGGAGGCAGATATCATCTGTCATACATTAATAATGATGAGGATGTATGTATTGTAATTGCGGACTATTAGCCCGCTCCCCACCCCCCCCTCCCTCTCTCTCAGTCTCTGTCTCTCTCTTATAATTTCAATTTAAAAATTAAAGCATTTAAAAATGAAATAGTGTATATATGTATATTAAATAAGTCTGCCATCTTGTACTATTGTAAATATATGCTTGTAAATTGATGGGACAGGGCTTAAGTTTAATAACTTGAGCTTGGTTTGGCAACAATCCATTCGCTTGGCAACATTCCATTTGCTTGGCAATACAATATGTTTAAACTAACATTTTTTATACGTTGTCAACAACTGCATAAATCGTGGTTGCGCCAACTTATCATTGTGCTAATGTGTTAAATTTCGATAATGCGCTTAAACTGGAGTGCGCTAAAGTAAGTAAATTATACGGTGAAGCATGTGATTTAAAAAGATGGCATTACACGTCAAACATAGTTAAACACATATTAAAATTCCCCAGCCATAAAACAGGTACAGGGTAGGAGTACAGATGGAACTATATATACTATTCTTAGGTATATACGGGTTTCTTTGCAGGAACTGGCATGAATCTTTAACGTCATAACTGACGGCAAAGAAAATTGGAACAGAAATAATTCTGCTGATTTAACCCACAAATCAAATACCACCAATACTTTAAGGAAAATTGAAGGTTGTTAATCTAATCAGTTGGCGAGGAGAACCTTATTAGATTTGTGCCTCGAATCATTAGCATCTCCCCGCCTTATTTGCATACATATTTAATCAGGAAGTGTTATGGTTGTACTGGAGTGTTAAACCGGAAGCTATTGTGTTGCTGTTATAGTTAGTACTTTATGTTAATTAGAGGGGTACAAATAACAGTACTTTAATCACCGGGACATTTTGATTTCTTGTGAAGGTGATAATTATAATAGCGAGCTCACGTCTGCTTTGCCTTTGACTCATGAACTCTACATATTTGTAACAGATTATTGGAAGGTTCTTTTTATATAGAGAAATAGTTGAAGAGAAAAGTAAAAAATGTCTTGATTTCTTGATTCAAAATTTCAAAGTAATATTGATTTGGAATATATATTACGCGTACGCTGTTCTCGTCTTGCATTTCGTTTAATTTATTAAAGTTTCAATGATCAGAAATGATAAATTGACAGAAGAAACCATACAGCATATTACAAGAATGCGTTAGAAATTAGACATGCAAATCAACTATGATAATACAGTTGGAAAGATGGAAATAGGAAGTACACTTGGCATATTTGTATGACAGAAAGAGTTCTTTACATTTAAACGGTAAATGCAATGAGTTTCGTTGCTGTGGTTTCATCTGAAACCGTCAATTGTTTCTTAAGCATAACCGGGCATACTTGAATTACACTTACTCAAATAGCTGAATACAACACAGTCGTTAATTAATCGTTTGCCCAACGCATAACACATGTTCAAACATATATTGTCTGATGTTCAAACTACTTTAAAAAAAAAATAACAAAGTATTGTTGGTTGAAATCATTTTTGTTGTTGTTTTAGAAGACAACCAAAGATTCTGAGAAGGTCCTTATTTGAGAACTGAAATATCCATTTCATGTTAGTATTCAGATTTTGAAATTTTGAGTTCACTGGAGATGGAATCCAAGAACATGTAATTGCAAAAGGAGCATGCAGTGAATGAAGCATGCTTATTTTTTCTAAAAACGTGCTAAAAATATTTTTATGTCAACACATTATTATTTCCTACATATATTTCATCATGCAAACTTTTCTGTCTTTTGATCTTCCGCACCACCGACGAATTCTACAT